GGGGGGGGGGGCCCCGGCGGCGGCAATCTCAGCCCCGCCGAGTGCTGCCCTTTTATGGAAATGAAGGACCCAGCGCAGGGATTGAATCCAACATCCGGGCTCTCGCCCGCGGGACCTGAGGAGGGGGAGCGAGGGGAGCGCGGGCGGCGGTCCCCGGAGCGCCGGTGGGCGGCTGGGCGCGCCTCTCCGCGCGCGGGGCTCCGGCGTCGCGCGGTTCGTGGCACTGGGTCTCCGTGCTTCCAACCGGCCGAGGGGGCTTGGCCGTGAGAACCGGCCCCAGGAAATTCCCAGGGCAAGGTCGTTTTCGGAGAACAAAGTCCTCCTGCCCCTTCCCCACGGCGGGAGTGAGGCCAAAAGTCGGGGGCGCTAAGAGCTGCCGCACCCCGCGCGCTGGAGAGAGAAGTTTGGGGTGTAAAAACTTTCAAAAGTAAGTGCCCACGCCACTTTCACGAACATCCCACAGAAGAGAGAGAAAGCCCAGAGGGAGGCGAACCACAAAAATTGCTTTGCAAGCAATGTCCGGCACAAGCTGCAACTCCTACCGGACACCGGGGAGTTAGCATGCGTTCTTAATCGGTTCGGAAGCTCTCGCCGGACGCGAGCCAGCGTCGTTCTACAACGCTCTAGCTGAAGGGGGCAAATCAGTGTTAGGGGGTTTACGCAGAGACAGTTCCCCAGCCCTTCCAGCTGTACGTATTCCTGTATTTTATGTACAATTTTGAACTAACTGTTAGACTTTTAGATAGCTATACATCCTCTGCCCCACCCTTAGCCACGCCTTGAAATTTTTAATAGCTCTGGACCAGCGCCTGCAAATACAGGGAAGAGCTGAAGAACTTTACCTGTTGAAGACAGGCTAGTGATGGAGAATGAGCCTCCTGCCTCCCGCTGGACTTCCACGTCCCCCATTTGCTGTTGCACTCTGTGGAGGGGACTCTTCAGAAACAGCAAGCAGAGGAAATGCCCTGCTAGCGAATGCACAGCTCAAAAACTTGGGTGTGGAAGACTCAGATATCTCATAAAAATAATATCCCATAAGAACCTCGAGTTTTAAGTCTCAGAGTCTTCCCTTGCCTTGTCTCAAACACTTAGAAGGGGAACCTGCCAGGCAAATATCGACTGCTTGTTCATCAACACTCGACTGGGAGAGTTAGAGGCGTCAATGAAGGGATTGGGCACTTTGAGTAAAAGCAGTGAAATCTAGTCAGATTCCAGGGGTTTGGCACACACACAAAAAATACGGTAAACCACGACAGTGTTTTTAACTAGTCATCATGGAGAAATTGATGCCTTGAGTCTCTGGTCTTTCCACTCACCCATTATTTCTACTCATCAACATTCCAAATAATTCACTTGGAAGCAATATGAATTCCCAAGAGGAGAGAGTATTTATGTAAATTATGGTGGTAAAAATATATAGAAAAGTGTTTTAAGTAAAACAGAGAATTGCTTACTGAGTCAAAAAAATTGTACAGGACAATTCAGGCAGCTGTAAATTCATGAACTTCTATTTTTTAAATATTCAGAGAAAAAAGACTGGAAGGAAGTACACCAAAATGTTGAGATCATGAGAGACTTTTCTTTTTTCTTCTGTTCTTTATTTTTCACAACTTCAAAACCTTTGCATCTGGAACTTTTCTGTCACCACCTAGAATTCCATCCAGCTTTTCAGTTTTGTCTATACATGCCATTACGTTTCCAATGATAGACACAATGATCTACTGGCTAGACTCTGCGACAGAGTTATCAGAGGATTCCTTTGTTTTGTTTTTAATATATCCAAGTAAAACTTGAGTTCTTTCAGAACAGGGGCTTCAAATTCTTTGCATTGTCCACAGTTTTACAAGTAGCTTGGCATAAAGAAAATGTGTAACATGCTGGTACCAAATCAACACAAATGTCAAAGAAACAATAAGTCTGTCTTGTGAGAAATCTTTTTTTTTAATTGCCAGAAGTCAAAGGTTCTCTACGGGGAGAGGGGAAAAAACACCCCCCAAGGAGGCGTGTTAATACCACAATCTCTTCTCCATTTCTTCACCTGTCAGAATTTGGGGCACGCACACATATGCCCACCTCACATGTTTTCAAGCTTTCAGGACCTGGAGTCAAAGCACAGTTGGCCACATGGGTACTGGCTGGGTACTGGCTGAGCTGAAAAATCTTATTATTAGGAAATCCCTACTTTAAAATTGTATGTATTTGTTTGGTTGCCTAGTAGCATGGCAGTTAAGTGCTATGTTTGGGGAGCCAGATCCCATATGGCCACCATGGTTTGCATCCAGCCCCAGCTTTGGAAAATATGCCAACGTGCGTGCATGTGTGTCCCAGATCTTAATGGGATGGGGACATGGAGGAAAGAGGATTGCAACATGACCATACCCAATGGCAGAAGTGCTTTCTTTTTCTCTTTGTCTCTGGCTGGCTAGCAGACACACCCTCTGGTCAGAAATAAAACAATTTTGGGATTGACAGGTGACGTGATGGTTGAGGAGTTGGACTCCCACATGACTAACCATGGTTTAAATCCTGGACATGGCAGCTGGTTTTCTCACTGTCCCCCTCTCTCTCTGGTCAAATTAAATAATAATAATACTTTATTCTTTTAAAAATTTTTAATGTATTTATTATGTTTTTTTTTTTGAGAGGTTTTCGCTATAGGGTGCATGCGCTCACCAGACAGACAGAGAGAGACAGAGAGACAGAAAGTGAGAAATCACCCTCCAGGGGGGATGGCCACGCCGCAATCCCTTCTCCATTCTCCTCTTGGGATCTTGGGCACGCACGCACACGCACCCGGCGTGAGTTTTAAGCCACTGGGTCCAGGACTTGAACTGCGGTCGACTACGTGGGATTCCAGTGACATAGCCATTACGCTAACTGCTGGTTCCCGATTATGTATTATTATTAATTATATCTTATCCCCAAAAGATTTATGGCAATGTGAAAGAATGCATAAACTATGTGATAGCCTACATCATAAGTGTCACAAAATTTAAAATGTTAAAAAAGGAGGGTGAAGGTTGTTTAATTTAGAAAGGTGGAATAAAGATTTCAAATGGAGTCGGGGTATGTGTGTGTGTGGGGGGTGTAGCTGGTAGTGTAGTGGCTAAGGCAGATGGATCCCACTGGCCGATTGCACTGTTCAAGTCCCAGACCTGGTGGCTTGGCAAATCACGCCAGATGTGTGTGTGCCCAGAATCCCAAAAGGAGGGAGAAATGGAAGAGAAGAGATTGCACCATGTCCTTGCCCCATAGTGGGTTCTCTCTCTCTCTTTCTGCCTTTCTCCAGGAAAAACACATATCTTCTGGCAAATTAAAAAAAAAAAAAGTTTAAATGGAGCCAGGAATGAGGCTAAGAAATATATCTTAATAACTTATATATATGTTTCAGTAAAACCTGAAAAACTATGGCTTCTCATGCCTTAATAGAACCAGAAATGCCTATGTCCTTTCTGAATATTTCCTTTCCTTCAGATAAAATTATCGAAACCAACTGTCATGGTGTTACCAGTCAAACTCAGTCTGGCTTCTGCTTTTCACGGTCAGGGAAAGAAGAAGCAAAGGCTAGAGAAGAAGGGAGCTTACTCCGTAACCAGTTAGCGCAAACTGTGGAGGAAAGTTCAACATGTTCTCCGTACTTTTAGGTACAAGATACAAGCAAATCATTTTCCATGATAATCAATTAGAGTCAATCATTTGAGTAATTATCCTGATTTCTTCAAATACCCATTCCTGGTTTCCCATCTGATTTCTCATCTGACCATTCCTCGAATAGATTTCCCTATGACTCAGCATTTGAAAGGTTTTATTCATTTCAAAATGGCTAGTCCTGTTAAACCTTTCTTTGTTTTGAGAGTTTTTTGCTTTAGGGTGCATGGGCTTGCTGGAGAGCCCGGAGAGAGACAGAGAGACAGGAAGCGAGCAATCATGATCCCTGGGTGGGGAGATGGCCACTCTGCAATGCAATCCCTTCTCCATTCTCCTCTTGGGATTTTGGGCACACAGGCCCCACATGATTTTCAAGTTGCCCGGTCTGAAACTCAAACCACTCAGTTGTCAATGTGAGATTCCAGTGCCTTAACCACCATGTCACCTGCTGGCCCCCATCTCTTTCCTTTTTTTTTTTTTTTTCTTCTTTTTTTAACACAAGGGTTCACTGTATCTAACACCCTGCCTCAGCCTCTTAAGTCACTGGGATTACAGGTGTACACCATTTCATCCAGACTTTAGGTTGGACCTCCCAAGTGGTACCAAGCCATCCAGGCCCAGAGTTTTAGTAGTGCACACCGCCATGGCTGGGTCTATCAATCCACCTCTATAAAAGTTCTCTACATTGGGGGAGGGGAAGGTTGCTTGATATTACATTGGGTCGTTAGAAGAGTCATGACATGTTTTTCTGTGCAAAAATGTGTCATGACTTTTCTGACGACCCAATAAATATCTGCTCTTTTTTAAAAACATTTATATAGTGTAGTTATTGCTTTATAAGATACTTTACCAGCTTTAGAGAGTTAGCAGTTTATGTTTGAGCAACCGAATGCATAGGAAGGCCGAGACCCTCCGTTAAGTATAATTGGAGGAATAATTAGAATAGGGTGAGCACAGCTC